ATTTTGCGTACTTTAATATGAACCGGAACTATGAAAATATATAAGAACTGTACAGACTTTGAGTACAACTTGAGATGATTTTCAATGCTTGATGACAATACATTTAATTTTAAAAATAATCGAATACTCTCGGAATAGGTTTTTCTTTATTATGTACACAGATCTCATCACAAACCTTCTTCTGCAAATGTCGTGCATGATTTTAATTTTAAAATCCTTTAATGTTCATTCAAAGTATTTGATATAGTCAGGCTACCGGCTTCATCTGGATGAAACGTCAGGCATTCACATGTACCTATATATAATAGGCTTGTGTCCACTAATAAAAAATTGCCTGGTTTATAGTTTCAAATTATAAATGAAGAGACATAGGTAAGAAAAAACCATTCTATTTGTTTGTCAGTTTATTTCTAAATTTTGGAAAAGTAATAGTCGGTAGGAGCAACGTCTGGTGGTCACATCTGCAACCAGCTTTGGTCAATCGATCGTCCCCACTGCTCCTTCACGACAACGCGCGACCCCATACTGCGCAACAGACAGTCTCCAAGCTGCAAGAGCTGGGGTTGGAAGCTCTCCTTCATCCGCCATACTCACCAGACCTTGTTCCAAAATTTAGACAACTTTTTAGTGGGTAAAAAATTCAATTCCCGAGAGGCAGTACAAAATGCCTTTGAAGAGTTTGTTGCCTCCCGTCCAGCTGATTTTTACAAGAAGGGCATCAATAAACTGCCAATGCGTTGGCAAAGATGCGTCGATTGCATGGGTGATTACTTCGAATAACAGAAATAAAAAAGTTTGAAAAAATAAGTACTTTCACTTATTGCATACAAAACGGCAATTTCATAGGTAAAGACCTAATATTGCTTTTTCTTTAAAATATAGGTTTTTTGGGATAAAATAGATATTAAAGTATATAATTGAGTCAACTAGCCTATTGTATAGTCTAAATATATATATACCTATGATACTAAGAACTACACAGCTTTCAGTAAATATTGTTACATAATATCATCGCATTCTACAATGTAAAACCTTAACAGTAACTTCCTTAATTATATACTTTGTAGTCTACTGCAGATTAAAAGTCTTTTATCATATTTTCTAATGTATGGGTCTTAGTATAGCATTGTAAAAAAACTATAAAACGACACATTTAAAGATACTAATGTTCATTATTATTTATCATACACTAACCGACAAAGCTTCTATATTTGTTACATTTTAACTAGTTTAGTTCGCGGCTCTGCCCTCGTGGGCGTTGGTTAGACGAAATAGGTATTATTAACTACATTAGATATATCGGTCTTAGAAAATCGGGTTATAAATTTACGACTGAAAATAAGAGACAATAGAATTAAAAAAATCGAGTATTTAATTCCGATGCATTACTTTTGGTATTAACAATAATACATAATAATACAAATGTATCCCGAACATGAGAATCGAAAAAAAAAGTGTAATATCAATAAGGAACCGGTCAATCTGGATAAAATTTAGTGCATTACCTATGTAATAGTGTTTACAAATGAATGTTCAAATTTGGTTATACATTCATCATAGCATTTATGAGGCAAATTTAATGAAAAAATATAGTAAGTTTAGGGTGTTTCTATGCATATTATGTATGTATTTGCAGACAAAAGTATATGTGTATTTATATCAGTTGTCTAGTACCCATAGTACAAGCTCTGCTTAGTTTGGGACTAGACGGCGTTGTGTGAATGTGGTAGAATATTATTATTATTGTAGTTAAGCCTTCACTTAGCGCTCAACTTATTATATTAGTCAGGAGCATATAAGATTGCCTGTGTAATCGTTAAGTAAATAAAATTTCTAAAATTGGTGTATCAATTTACACTAAATTTTATAAATTTGTAGTAAGAGTTTTCGCTTTGTGTTTAAATATATTGCTAAAGTATGGCTATCTGTTATATTTATTAATTTATCTGTGTTGTGTCTTTTTTCTTTAGCGCATAGACGAAAGGAAGATAAATATTTATTTGCCTGGATTTTTGTGTTTAAATATATTAAATTTATAATTGTATATTAATTAAATATTCAAAGTCGTTTAAAAAATAAAAACCTTGATACGAGTTTATTGATCTTTAAAATTTAAGTAGTCCGTTCTAGTTTTTAACTTTTGACATACAGACAGTGCAGCTACGTAATGTTGTTGATAAATATAGTATACGTATTTATATGTATACCTACATATAGTTTTATGGGTATAGCAATGCTTATGCGGTCGAGCGCATGATTCATAGGGAGGAATATCAAACAGTTAAATATTCATTTCGTGGTGTACACTCGCGTCAAATATGTCAAACATTGTTTTTGAATTGGAAACAAATCAATTGTTTTTTAAATGTTTAGTTTGCTGAGTTTTTTAATACAATATGACACTCGTACGTGGAATGTATTCGCAAGTCGTGGAAAAGGTATTTATTATTTTGTTAAACTTTCATAAACATTATAAATAAGGTTTTCCTCTGCCCTCTTATTAGTATCATTGAGCGTGAAAGAGGTTTTGCATTAATTGAATTGTTTGTTCCTAAAGTGAAGCATTTACGTCGCTTCTACCATCTCGTAATTTGTTTATTATTGTTGTTAACAAGGCAGTTAACTGCCGCCGATGAAGGACATAAACATTTCCCTTCTAAATAAACTGTCTGTAGGAGAGTATGCTTTATTTTTACATCATCATCATCAAGCTATCGCACACTGCTGGACGAAGGCCTTCACTAAAAAACGCTAACTCGCCCGGTCCTTCTTTATTTTTTTTTTGCCAAATTGGTGATGCTAAGTAAGTTAGTTGTAGTAAAACAGGCAAATGCCTAACGACAAGATAAGATAACATAAATAGGTAAATAACAGACAAAAATATTACTTTCTATTCTTTATCTTAAAACCTTATGTGTATGACACACACAAGGTGTATAAAAAAATACTATTGAACTAGAAGATTTAATGTATACAGTACATTTTCTTAAAGTTGTCTTTAAGTCAAAGGTAACATTTATCAACGTATAATTTGCTCCCACTGACGTTATGGTAAGCAGGTCTTTTGCTTCAAACGCACGCACGGAAGTCGCACTTCGGGAAATAAGATAGGAAAATTAAGAGTTGGTTAAGGGGTATGTAAGGATAAAGGCATTGGAATTGGGTACCCGGATGGATTAAGAAGTGTAAACAATTAACTAACTACCTCCTAAAAAGCATCTTGACTGGCTGTTGTCATAAGCCCTCTAACAATATTTTGTGGTAGTATAGTATTATAGTAATAGTAATATGGTAATATATCAAAAGAATTTCTGGAGCTTAAAATATACAAAATCTGTAAAGTGACAATTAGTGTCTCGTTACCGGACACTGCAAACTGAAAAAAAAAAGAAAGCTTCAAATGAAGATTCTGCTGAATTCTTATTAAAAGTTAAATGGAAGTAAACTCCTGAAGTATTTAAAGGTCAAGAATTCATTTTACAGTGGAGAGTCAGTATTTTTTACAACGACTTGATCTAGCAATGACAACCTTCTCCCCAAAGAATGTTTGGCAACCATAGGTAAGAAAGTATTAGTAGCCAGGAACGTTTGCTTATGAGGTAAACTAGTCACTCGCAACATAAAGGTCTGCATAGGTACTTAAATTCATTGAAAAAAGTTATGGTACTAATACAATATTGTGAAGCTGGATTTCATAACCTCTACATACTCTATTTTGTAATAGCAATTCAAGTTATGTCTTAAAAGGGGATAGAATTTAAGGCGCAGCTAGACAAAGGAGCACTTTTTTGGTACTGTTATTGTAATGTGTATATTAATTTGTTGATCGCTGTGTATGAAGTAGAAAACTTAAAATAACAAAACCAAGGTCTAATCAACGAAGTGTATTATTTTGTATTTGTATGTGTGAGTGTAGAAACGTGCGAACATTTAATAATTAACACAAGTAAAAGTAGCATACGAGTAGTACCTATGTAAGGAAATTTTCAATATGTTCACGTGATTATTCATGGGGTACCGAGTATTTTTTTTAAATGATAACGAAAAGCGAATTATTAATTTCGTTGTACGTAAATAAAGATTTCGTCTGCCTTATGTCCACTTTTGGTTTTAAAATTTTATATAATAGACATTTTCAAAATAGGCTTACAAAAGAGAAATAGATAAAATGTAGGTTACCTCTTCACCTTTCCCGGTACCCTCTATAGTTATGTAACACGACATTTGGGAGTGAACAGCCCGTTTAACAACAATGACGATACATTTACTCAATTTATTTTCGTGTTTCTTTATTTTATGTAATGCGCTCAATAGCATGATTGTGAACGCTTTGTTTGAATAGTCTGCTGCTGTCTGCGGCTGTTTTTTTGAGTTTCTTGAGCTCAACATTCGAATATTTTTTTTGTGTTCAAGCAGCCGTATTATTGTCATTTAAATAGTTCATCTGGTACATATCGCATTCATCCTGTTTAGAAATAAAATCCCACAAACTACAAAACTCCGTGCTACGTGACTGTGACAATAAAGTACCATGAAATTGAATGCAAATTTACTTTTGCATCGATCTTACACATTTTAATATTATACGCTGAAAAATTGTTATTTTGAAGGCATCGCAACAACTAGCAATCTCTGTTTCAAAAACAATGCTTTTGTATTGTAGGATTCTATGGTGTCCTTTTAAACATGACCCTGACCCTGCTAGTCTTAGTGCTGTTTCAATATTTTATAACGAAAATATCTTTAAGATCGAATGTAGATCAGAACTCAAATTTTTATTACGAGAATTGACCTTCTGACCTTAGGCAAATACGTGTTTACTAGGGAGCCGTAGGGTTTTGAATTGAAGTAAAAGTTGTTGATAAAAGAAGAGAAAAGAAGTTGATAAAATTGACGTAGTAGATATTTGCGAATTTAAGAAATGAAGCGTGTCGTAGTATTGACATTACCCAGTCAAGAAAAACAGGTGAGCTAATATTAATGTATATCTGTTGTTTCAGGAGGCCTGCCGTTTGGTTGGCGGTTCCAAATTCTACGAAATGATGGAAAGTGCTGTACGTAGTGATGAGGTGTCAATACCGTCTCCCACAGAGAAACACGATCACATGAAGCCTATAGAGAGTGATGATGAATGTGAGGATATTTATATTAATAATATATTATTTACTAAAGTTCGCGATGTTTTGCATAGTTTTTTAAATTTTGGTTTGAAATTAAGTCGCATTTTTAATTGACCTTATAAATGACAAACATACGTTAAAACAAAAAGAGACATCCGTAACTGGCAATCTACATTAGATTCAAAGCAAAATAAGTCTACCTACCAAGTGAATACCACAGATTAAATAAGCTAGCGATAAATGCATTTATTACATGCAACGCCTACAAGCTATGTTGTACTTTATTTCTAAAGCATTAGGTTTTTGTATTAAACTGCATAATATAAATTAACTTTTATTGCTTTTATAATATACAATATTGCAACTGCAAGAACAATTTACTGACTTTTGTTATATTTTTATTCCTGCACCTATATAATCCTAAAGTGTTACATTTTTAATACTGAATACTTAATACTGAATTATTGACGTAAGAACTAAAGTAGGAAATATGATAAACCACTCAAAGAGTATATATTTAGATTAAGTAGGTACAATAATATACAAGTTACCGTAGAGTTACCTAGACAAACGAGCTTCGCTTATTGTTTTTTTTACGGAAAGCACTAATTTAGACCAAGTTCATAAGCAATATCTAATTTCTATACAAAATTTCATTCAAATAATGCCAATATTCCCACGAAATATAACCGTAATTTAAATATATATTTTTTTTTTATGTAAAATTTTATAAACTATTCTACAGCCAAACCATGATACCAATGTCACAAATATGTGGATTTATTTGTACAAGCGTTTCAAAAGGGATACATTAAAACAGCCAATTTATCCACTTGAGATTAGTCAATGACATTGTGTGGTTTCATAAACCCGAACCTATCTGCAACTGATATTTCGATTTAATACTTACAGTACAAACCAATGTAGATAATATTTATTACTGTGCACTTTATTATCACCAGCCTATCGCAATCCACTGCTGGACATAGGCCTCTTAGCCACGTTTCAAGGCTTCTCGCATCCAGCTCCTGCCAGCCATTTTACTGTGCATTTACCAAATTGTATTTCTTACTCTTTACTCCCATGTATTGCAAATGATTAAATTACACGTTATCAGTTTCAGACGTAGACCAAGAGTGTACAGTGTTCAGTGGTGTGAGCTACCTCGGCGCTCAAAACATATCGGACCCCAAATCCGAGAGCGACATACAACGCATCATGAAGGAACTCAGCTCGATGCCGGAGAGTAGAGATGGCATTGCGGTGTCGATATCTGTTCCTGTGTGCTCGCAAGGACTTGTCGTGTAAGTAACCGTTTTAATAAATGGAAATCTTCTGTACCTTCCTTCTGTGAATCTTTTTAAAGTAAATACTTTACTACTTTTCTACCGACTCCAATACGCGTACATCATAGTAATCTGTATTCTTCATTAAAAGGTAATTCTGCACCTAAGGGTGCATTAAGCTGTATTTTTTCTTCGAATTGGAATTTAACTAAACGGTATAAATAAACTCTCAAATAAAAAAATTGTTTACCAAAACGATGACGTGAGTTCTGAGGGAAAGGTTAAGTTAAAAATACTAGCCGAATTGAGAATCTCCACCTTTTTTTCAATGTCCGTTAAAACTTGTCCGTTAAAAAAAAATACAAATATTAATAAAAAATATATAGAGTATATTTTAAGCGCTACAAGTGCCAAGTTTTCTCATCCCGGTCAGTTCCCACACTTCCCAATACCATTTAACCACGTAATTCTTGCCCATTTCTCCACTTATATATAGTGGAGAAATTGTACAGATAAAACATGCTCTTTAAAATAGTTTTTTAACCCACTTTAAAGATCATGAATTAATAAGGAAGTAATAATGTAGAATAATTTATATCTGTAAAAAGGCTATTTTAAAAAAGTGTTTAATTATTTACTTCAAAATAAATTTATCAGGAAATATCAGTGTGCATATCTTTATATCTTTGGTCTTAGTTTAAAACTTGCAAATATCAGATGAGTAACGATAGTCTTTTCAACACCCTAGTGTTAAGGTACTACTCGTAGTAGTAGTTGTTCTAGTTACTTGTTTGCTATTTCATAAAAAATTGTCATTTCGTTATATTTCACAGTTTATACCAAGCGGACACCAACAGTGTTATGACAAGGTACTCGGTGAACCGCATATCGTTCTACGCACGAGGTTCTGCTGGGTCGGCAGTTGCTTCCTGTTTCGCTTTCACATGGTCTCACGGAGAGACAAAAGAGTCCGCCGTGTACAGGTGCCACGTGTTTCGCTGTCACATTGCTGAAGCTGTGCATCAAGTTTCAAGTAAGTGTTTGCTAAAAACATGGAGTAACAAAGTAATTCTTATGAATTTTTAATATTTGCCTCTAAAAATATTTCAAGGCAGATGCGAGATGTTGCCTAATGTTGTTAGTAAAGCTCCATTAATTACGTGAGGCCTTCAGGGGAGGGGGTCGAGCTGAATCTCATCTAATCTTACTTTAGGGAGAGGGGGGGTCTCGGCAAATATCACGTAATTTTTTATCCGCAAGAAACAGTAAAATTGCGAGAAAACTGATTTAAATTAAGTAAAACATGTTCCTCCACGGAAATGTGGCTAAGTCTTATACAATAATATTGATCACGGTATTGCGAGTGCCGCGAAGTTGCACAGTTGCCCGTCGTTTGTTGACGCCAGCGCCAACGCCAGCCTTATATTGCCGCCTTTTACCCAATTTTAATTGAGGATGGCACAATATGTTACATTTTATAGAGTTCGGGCTGGTGTTTTTATCACTGGCCTGCCTCATGTCTACCCCAAATATTATTAGACGAGCCAAAGGAAGAAGTTAAATTAATAAAAATAACTTTACACATTTCACACACGGCCGCCTGATTCCAAACTAGGCAGAGCCTGTGCTATGGTAACCATACTGCTGATATACATACTTATATATTTCCAAATACTAATCAAAAACATAATATGGATAAATTACACCCAGACACAACAAATCATCGTGCCCGTCACACAATTATTTGTCCTGAGTTGAAATCAAATATACTACCTCCGACTCTGCAGCCATGGTCACTAACCACTAGACCAACAGGTCTCAATTGGGAAGTTAGTTTAAGAGACCCTGTAAATCTCAAATGGGGAAATAATACTGAGACTGCAGTAGTTCGAAGATGCCGTGGTCAAAGAGGCAAATGAAGTAACTGACATGTTTTAACATATTGCAGAGATAACAACTGAAAAAATGATAATGATTGTCATTTTTCAGTTTATGTGATATACTTATATAAAAAAGTTTTTACAGCTGAATAGTATACTAAAGTATACTAAGGCACGGTAAGGTAAGGTAAAACTTATAGCAATTACATGTCTAGTTCCACCAAAGTAACTAGGTATTTAATAAGTAGTACCGAAGCCGTTTAAGTCCTGTAAACGTTCTTAATACGTCTTACCTTGATATCATATGCTTAGAGATACTTATTTTTGGATTTATTTGCACAACAGGATTAATCGAATATATGAGTTTAAGAAGTTGAATTTGAGAGTTGATTTATAATGCGCAGTATAATCATGCATGGACCTTTTTAAGTGAAAATATTTATTTTATTAAAAATTTAAATATACACGTGATCCGTCACTTTCATTATTCGAATAAAAAATCTATAATCGCGATGTAGGTAGTAGAAAGGAAGTCATTAATATTTTTTTATTAGAATCTCTAAATAACATAATGTTTCATTTATTGTGACTAAGATATTACTGAATCATATGGCCAGAGTAACCTTTATAAGCATTCATGATGATGATATTGTTGAAAAAAAATCTTTAGATTTGTTTATAATATTGCTATCATTTGCTCAGTGTTAAGGTTATTATTGAAATGATTATTTATTTCTCTTTGAAATTTATTAAAACAAAACTTAGTACCCGAAAGCTAATTGAGCATACAAACGCGCGTGCCTATCCAATCATTATTTGTTGTTACAGTTGTTACGGTACATTAGCTGGGCTAGTCTAAATTATCGAGGACAGTTCGCGTTCGGAAGTCGCTTGTAATACACGAATTACATAACTTTACAGTGTTGAACACGTATCATGTACATAGAGATTTGTCAGTGGCGCAATTTATATGTTTGTGATCTTACTTTTGTTTAAAAATATTTAGTGAATGTTTTAGTTGTTTATGGCATTTAGTTGCATTGTGAGTATTTTTATGGCTAGAGCAATTTAGGTACTATAGTGTTAAACAATGTTTTCAAAAGATCTATCATAAAATCTTCTATAAATATATCTATATATTTTAGTAACGCGGAGGTGAATTCTTTGTATGCACTTTTAAGCAAAAATTTATATATTCAAAGTTTATGTCTAGAAGTGCAGAAAACCAAATTAAAAACGGCTTAGGCCACCGGCAGCGGACGCGCGTCGGTCGTGGGTCGCGCGCGACCGACGCTCAGAAAACCCCGCGCCTAAAAAAAGCTTAAATAAATAAATAAATTATTTGACTTGTCATGATATAAAAGTTCATATAATGACAATTTCAAGTTATACTGGTCAATAAAATAAAACCAGACATTCAAAACAGTTAAAACTGAACCACCAGGCGATTTCTAGTGTTAGCCGTAAACCGTTCCCCCTTTTTAATAGTTCCGCTCCTAAAAAACCTAGTGTGATGTTAAATGTTCTTCAATGAATGGTCTTAGATTCTTTATATGGCATAAATAATCTAAGTGGGCTATATATCACCAACAGTCTTTGTTAGTCCACTGCTAGACATAGGCCTCTCCTTAGAAAGGAAGTTTATGTGGCCTACCAATGCAAATCATGTATTTATAATACAGAAATTCATTTTTCAGAAAAAAAGAATTTGTATAGATAAAAGAGTAATAAAAAACATTTATATAAAATTACTATACAATCTTTAGAAATACAAGCTTTAACGATGATCGATACGTAACAACGTGTCATGTTTATATTTCCTTTTCTGTTACATACAGCGTTTGCAAATAACCGCAGTGAAATGTGACATACATAACAGTATTATTTAATATAGTTAAAACATTGTCTAAACAAACTGCTAAAGTATTTCCTTATATATTTTCCTGCGGTAGATAAAAGTGATCCATTTTAGCAGAATAAGACGTTGTGTTTGTATACGCATACCGATATTACTGATAAATATAAGATAAAACTGGAAGTTGGCGAAAACGTTGAAATAATGAAAAAAGTTAGTGAGTTTGTGTGATTATTTCGGTAATTATTAACGTGTTAGATACAATTAAGTCTGTGTATAACTTAGTAACAATAAACATAACTATATAGATCGGTTCAATCAAGTACTGATTTTTTAATTGTACATTTCTTAAAATAGATTAATATTATTACAGTGACGTAAATAAAGTAGGTAAGAGATTTCACTTCGCATAAACGCCTGCAGAAGGGGGACAATCCCAGGAGAATTTGTCCCATTCCTGGGAATGGGACAAATTCTTTCCTTCTTCAATTAAACTAAAACTCATTTCGATTGATATATCCTGTCAATGCCTATCGCAAGTACGTTAATCGTAAAACAATTAATACGGTCATTTTTAAATTAGTAATCGGTGTTACGTAGGTTTATGAAATATGATCAACTATATTTAGCATTGATAATTATTGATAAAGTTTAATCTGAAACATTTTTTACGGTAAAATATTGAATTGAGTTTAAATACAATACTTAAAAACAATGAGACAGCTCTGTGGCATGACAAATTAAAACAAGGTATCTAATTTATAAATTATTACAATACAATGGGTTGTCATCTTCGAAAGAATAAAAACCCCTATCTAATAAATGAAAAAAAAAAAACAATTATAGATTATAAACGGTTTTCTAAAGTGTGTTTTTCGGGGATGCCCGACTACTTTCGAACCCGACTGTTGACCTTTTTCAACGTGTACTGTGTCACTTAGTAGTACAAACCTAGTAAATCTGTTTAACCATTACTTGTGTATGGTATTTATATACCCTTAAAATGTTTAAATTTCTGGGTATTTGAAGATATTTTATGGGTATTTTCACAACATTTAAATATCTGTGGTAAATGCAATTGACATCCTACTTCCTCGTTAAATAGTCAATACTTCTTCAATAACGATGCTATTACGTCAATGAAGTCTGTGTACTTGAACGTCTGTGGTTTCAAGGCCACTAGATGACCTGATTGACGTGACATGGATTCGAGGCCTTGGTCGCAATATTTATTCTATGTATATTCAAAATAGCTCGATAAATTACTTGTTTGATTCTTCATATACAACTTTTAATAGTATTTTAAGGTGTAATTTGGATAGTATAATAAAATTACATTGTTTAGTTCACTCTCGTTAGAAACAAATCTACTACTAGCATCTGGAAAATTGCGTGTAGTAAATACAGTTGAGTAATGGAAATAGCATCGATATTTTTCGTAATTTTGACTGGTCTCTCTATCTCACGTCATGTACTTACGACACATCATAATTTATGTCGACTTTCCCCTACATCTTAATTCTTAGTGCCATTCGTGTAACAATATTGTCCGTGCCATTATGACCATCCATTGTAGTTTGTGTGCAGTTTACGTAGAGCCGTTTATAATCTTTTATATTGCTTTACATAATCTTCATACATATTTATATACTAGTACTTTCACTTTTAAAACAAAACAAAAGTAAAACAATATTATTTTGATATCGTCAAAAAATATCAGAATACGTCTGTCGTTCTTTATCATAATGGTTTTAGGTTTTACGTTATTCATTAACGCAGTTGTTTTGTGTGGACTGTGTTGATAGTACGGTTCTACAGTGGTTTATTTACTTATTAATATATTTATGTTGTTGGATGTTTGATTCGAAATTTCAAGGTAATGTGTTTAGGCCAGTGATTTATGTAATTCCTGTTTTTGTCATTCTCTAATTTTAATAGCGAGTTAGGCAAAAACCAGGCAGAATAGTGAATGTGACTTTTAGTGGTCAATTATTGTGCTAAACATTTAACTCCAAAGTCAATCGTTCTAGAAGGACTGCGATAAAAAAACTAACAAAAGAATTTGTAAATAAAAAAAATACACAAAATTATTTTGTTATTTGTATTTTGTATAATTGATATAGTTATTGTTTGTGATTATTTTAAAATATTTGAAGCGTAAGTATCAATGTATTAAAATATTTAAAACGTTTTCGAATCCATCGTGGTTTAGAACACGCGTTGTTTGTGATGAAACAATAAATTAACATTTCGTGGTAAATTATATAGGTATATTATTAAAACATATGAAAAGTGGCCTATGAAAATTCTTTAAAGGCGTATCGTCAAAATGCATATCCATGCATGATGTAAATCTGAATTGATACTTAATGTATTATAATGAAAATTTAGTACAGCCGTTACCGCCCCTTCATTCGATACGACCGTGATACCAATATCAATACTGCTGAGTTTATATTTAATCAAAGTGCTGTAGATCCAAATACTGTAAAGCATCACTCGTTTTGTATCCTCGTCGTAAATGTCGTTATCCATTGTGTTGAAGTCATAAGAGAACGTAATTACATTTCATCAAAGCAGGCAGACAACTGCTCTCGAAGATATAACTAGAACCATTTCAGTACATGAGGGAAAATCATAGGAGTGGACCTAACTCTTCACCCTTTGTCGCCAATTAGAACTTATGCTTTCTTACTAAGGCAAATGAAAGTAAAAATAGTTTACAAAAAAAAGGTGAAAACTTAACAAAGATCTCAGAGTTTAGCTTAGCACCATTATTACCGAAACAATAATAAATAAGTTTGCTCGAACATACGCGATTCTAATCTTTAGACATTCGGAAGAAATCACGAAAGTTTTTTAAATAATTCTCATGACCTATTGGTTCAATGGTAGGTTTAAATAATGCACTCATAAAACAGTGACACATGGTGACCTCTGACTCGCGATAACACAATCAGCCGACCTATAAAGGTCCTCCACATACGGATATCAACCTGTGATTTTAGCACATAAATCACTCAATGACAAATAGATTAAACAGCGTTAGTATATACGCAATACAGATAGAGTATTAAAATGACAATTGACTTATTGAATTGATCGTGTCGGTCTTATGTGTCTCAATTTGGAGCACTAGTCAATTGTAACTAGCAAATCAGCAACCATTGTATATTTCGTTGTTATGGATTTCACAATTTAAATTAGACACGAGACTCGTGGTAATATTTAAATTGTCATATAGCTAGCTTAAGCTACATTAAGGTGTAATAGTATTATAAGTACGGTTTTTTTCAGAACATTGCTCTCACGTTATCTTTGTCTGTGCTACGGACTTCAATACATAAGTTGATCCAATTTCTCCCTATACCGTACGTAAGATAAGAAGATTGGAAAAATGGTTTTAAATACTAAAAAAGTGCGAAATAACTTTTTTGACAACCTTTCTTCTTCCCGAGTCTACTCGAGTACGATTTAAACCTCCCCTTATTTTATTTGCATAATCGACTAATAGGTTTTAATTAAGTATAAATAAAGGTAACTTTTTTTATTTAATATTTTGCCTTTTTCCAGGTTGCTTCGCTAAAGCGTTCGAGCGTATCCCCCGCTCCATGGCCTCATCTTTGGTCGGAGACTTGAGCGCGGCACCATCCATGACTGGCTCGCTGACCGAAGCCATCGGCCCCACTGTACCGCCGATGCAATTGATGCACGTCTTGGAGTGCACTGTTGAAATTAAGGAAACTGACGCAAAGGTAAGGTATTATAGAGTTAGTCAGTACAATTAATTTAAAATAAAGGAAACGGTAACAGGCGCTACCGCTAGAGGGTTGGGTGAGTCGGAGCAGATACCGAGCACGGGCAATGCAGCTCGTTTTCATGAGACGCCTCGTGCACATGTTTACAAGTGTTGTATTTTCTTGGTGTTTTAGATAACATGATTCTTCAGGTTATTTTGAACTCTTAACTATTCTGAGTAATTGAAACTTTAGTTAAAATCAATAAGAATCTAATTTAATCAATCATATTAGATTTTCAAAGTAAGGTAGTTGTAGTAACGCCAATATATCTATACAAATAAATAAAATGTAAGTCTGTATGTCGTGTTAAAATAATAGGTGTTTTTCATGTTCACACGGTTATTTGCACACCTACACCTAGCTACACTAAAAACCAATTCATTTTGTTTGTCAGTCCGTTTGTTAAGGGTAATCTTCAGAACGGCTTGACCGATTTTGATAATATGTTACTACCAGGTAGCTGTCTATATAAGAAGTAACTTAGGTTATTTTTCCTTTTAGAAAAACCCTTTAAAATTTGGCCCGGTCCGGGAATCGAACCCACTAAGGCAGCGCTTTTTTAATTCCACGCGAACGAAGTCGCGGGTACCAGCTAGTATTATAAATAAAAAATATAGTGGCGTCGTAGAGTGCGGTTAAACATAAAACCCAAACCCTTAATATTACACTGCATTGCCATTTAGCTGGCGGTTTCGTGTTCGTACGTTAATATGCAGTAGTGGTAGTATGCAAGCCCTGAAGGACTCCGTAGTCCTTCAGGGCTTGCATACTACCTACTTGTGTCATCATATTTTTTCGATCGTCCACAGGGCACATTCAGTCATGTACCAAAAGAGCGGCTCGGCTTCAAACTCCGCGGTGGTATAGACAAACAGGTGACGATAAACGTTAAACAAGTTACCAACAATACTCAGCCAGAGACTGAAGATCCACAGGTGAGATAAAGAACAATGGCAGAAACATATTTACCTAAAACTTAAGCGTTTAAAAAATGGAGTCACAGTAAACTTAATCAAAAATTTTTCTATGATTTATCATTACACCACTATGTGTTGTATAAGTCTTATAAGAGATAAGATATTTTTGAAGATTTTATTTGACTTAAGTACGTAATGTCAGATTCGCCATCACGTATAACTGACTAGGGATGCGTGGTGGCAATATTATATTGTGGAACAATTTATCGATAATCGATTCTTATAGCTTTGGCTGAAATATTTACCGAAGGTTCACTATTATGATTATGAATTTGCTTCTGCCCACGTCTTCACTCGTACGGTAGAGTGACTGAATCAACATAATTAGATATGATTTAAAATATTTTTGACTCTCTTTAAACGATTTTAAACACACTAAAGAAATAGAATATAGTTACGTTATCTTCCACTACACAGTGTGATGAGAAAAATACATTGTCATTGATAACGGCACATAAATAGACATACATCGATGTTTTCAAATTGTCGATACGTCGTCGTTTAGTACATATCTCTTAATCTGTGGTTTAGATCCTGTCAAGTTCCGGACTCACCACGTTTGTTATTTTATTTTTGTTTAATTTAGTGTTAAACTCGAATAGATGTTATGCTTTTATTTTTTTTATTTCATATACTGTAATAATAATGAAAATAATATTTTCGGTTATATGAGACACAACGCCATCTAGTTTCAAACAAAACATTAACAATATGTTAGTACTTAACCTCGAAACATTGAAAATCCAATATTTTTTTTCCGAGACTTCTTTCGCAAGTAATTTTGATATGAGAATGGTCAAGAATAAATTCTCAAGTGTTAAGGATTTTTTGATATTTAAACGCTAACATTTCATTTCAAATAAAATTATGTATGGGGACCTGCCATTGTCCTTTAAATAACTCTGCTAAATTCGGTGCCAAAAGTGTAGTAAATACTCAACTTAGGAAAATAGACCCAGATATCTTTAAAATAGTTTTTATGTGACTTCCATAATTCCTGGAAGCCGACCTTAAAACACTGCCTCTTTAAGGTCGCCTTCCAGGCAGTTAGTAACGTAATCAAACTCGTTTGTAGCGGATGTTTTAGCGGGAAATTATAAAAAATAAGTTTTTTTTTCAAATGTGTTGTTTGCATTGATTAGGAGTCTAAAAATAAAATAAAAACTCCCAAAATATTTTTAACAACCTTATTGCAATTATTAGGATTGTATTACTTAGAGCGATGTAGGCGACTGCCATCTATTCTAATATAACATTAGAATTTCAAAGTCAAATTTGAATAATTATTTTAACTTGTGTATTTTATTGTTTCAGTCAACATATAACGGTGGATTATACATAGAACGTTGCTTCGGTATTCTTCTCGCTCCAGGGAGGAGTGTAAAACACTCGGATATGAGATTACTTGAAATGGTAAATGTACTATGTTTTATAATTATACATTAGACAATTTTAACACTATTTGGATAAACTTATAACACTTGATACTATGTGTACATAGCTTTAGTTGTAAGATCAAATACACATGTATTCCTCTGAAGACACTAACGTCTAAGTTATAGGCTCAGCCTAGTTTAGACGTTAGGGATCATTGATTGCTGTAAACAACCCGTTCATGAGTTCATAACTATAGTTATAAGTTTAAAATCAAATGTATTATCGTAGTGTAGGTATTGATATCAATAAATTATTATTATTACTTATTAAAAAATCATAAAATAAGATTGTAAATTATTATTGTTCCGCACTGTCTAAAATATATATATCTTAATGTGTTTCAGGTTAGCGGCTCCTCAGGAGGATCAGGTTGTTCGGTGTGTGCGTTGTGGAATGCAGGAGAATCAGCTTTAGCTGCGTTCAATGTTGCCAGTGGAGAAGGGGCGCCTGCCTACATGTCGCTCGCATTGGACCTCGTCATTAGAGGGATACCAGATCCGTTGAGGTGAGGTTTTGTTTATGTATTGTGTAGCTCCAATAAAGAAATACAAAAAAGATTTTCTGTTGGGTTCCTAGAATAGAATAGCCATTTCTGCTGATGCAGGAATTGTTTAAGAATATAATATTTAATGGAGTTATTTTTCTTTCAGATTGATAATTGAGACTCCCGTGAAAATATATCCACCTTCAGAAAGGTTCTGGTATTATTCAAAAAGGCCGCTGGTACAACAGTTTTATATTAACCTGAAAGAGGTAAGAGCGGTGACAGTTTTCTATCAGTAATTTGTGTATTATTAACGAACGTTATATATTCTGATACCTTACTTACAACGAATCATTTAAATCGACTTAAAAGTCAACTTAACGTATTTCTTATTTTCGTATGGACATTAATCTTTGTGTGGGTGTGACGATGCTCTAATTTATTATTTTGGAACCGTTTTTATAATAAAGCCAGGAGGTGGGTAGTGTAACTCCTCAGGGGTGTGATGCAGTGGTAGCGTACGCAACTGGCTTAGGTATCGGGTTCGACTCCCGGGTTGGACCAAATGTTTGTATGATCCGCAAAAATTAGTTTCCGGGTAGTGGTGTTTTCTATGTCTAAAATGTATGTATTTACAAAAAAAGTATATAAAATATACTATCAGTCAATCAAGTTTTCGTAGCACAACCTCTGCTTAGTTTGAAACTTGATGATAATTCAGGAGTTGTACAATGTAATTTTTTGTTACTTAATTTTTATTGCAGTTTCTCGTTACATCGTATTTTTAGTTAACGATAATAGTTATCATGATAAGACCCTTCAGCAGTCACGAATACCCACTTTTTCTTTCTTTTTTTTTCCGTACGGAAATCCCCTCGGATACCACCTGTCGGTGGCATGTCGGACTCGAACCGACTAAAACCGCACGCCGTCTCGGGTATAATTGCCGGGGAACCAGGTATACCCTAGAAAGGAAGTCCCTGGTGCAGTCACGAATACCCCCTCGATACTCGTGTGTAAAAACGTAAAAACGTTCCACTTCCAATAACACTACTCATTCACTTTGTAAATCAAAACAAAACCTATATATTTTTATACATTATTACAGTCGGTGGATGCCCTCGGCCAATTACAGTATGAAGTGGCGAGTATTGAAACATCAGATGAACTGGATCGGTCGCGGCTGAACCTTCCATTATCACTGTCCAGTTTGTTGCCATCGCCTCTGTCCAGTGCGCCTGCACCGCCCTCACCTTCAGAGCCGGACTCAGGTTCGTGCGGAGCAAGGTTCTCCGAAATATATTATTTACCAATCATAATTGCATGTTTGTATTTATAGATAATGTTACGTATGATGTTGAAGAACAATCAATTTCTTTTTACTCAGATGGTGATGAGCCTCTTTTGAGTGGTACAGGAGAAGTATCAAAAGATTGTGGTGAAGATGTGCTCGTGAATTGGGCTCAAGTCCTTAGGAGGTAATTAAAATATTAAGAAGTTATTGGTTTAGCAAATTTTAGTTATTATCTCGTTTTGCTAATTGCACCTTAGTTAGCATATTTTAAAGAGATTATTCTTAGAATGATATTAAAAAAATGGGAATTGGGTAAGTAAATCAAATGAAATTAGAAATGCAGACGTTACAGCTTGGATCTGCGTAAGAATACCGGATCAAATTAAAAATGTGGGCGCCACAGTTCAGAACGGTCGTGTAGATACGTTGTGTAATTTATAAACAGTTATTTGAATAATATAATTAATTTGTACCACCGCGTTTCTGCATCGGTTATTAACACGCTTTTATTATTTTATGTATCTATGTAACGGCATCTTCGATCGTGATTTTGACCCAGTTCAAAACGTCGAAGAAATTTGAAACTTCGTACAATAATCTGATGAATTTAGCCGATTATCCTGATGAGGATCTTCAGGATTAACTGCTTTTTCCATACCTAAAAATACGGTAGTTTCTTCTGAAATATACTAAGAGGCATGTGCAGAAGCATATGTGACTTATTTACTTATTACTTTTTTAGTCTTAATGAGAAAATAATCATCATTACTGACTAAAAAATCAAAAATAAATTATAGTTTAAAAAACACGCTTTTGTAACTAGAAGAACTAAAAAGTAGAAAATAATTTTCGTCGTTAATCGTAAAAAGCGTGAGGTGCTTTAACAAGATATTATATATTATAATAACTTTACTTTTATCAATTACTGCCACTAAAATATTTTTACAACAATTAAGCTCTAGCTAGCTAGCTAGAAGATCTAGCAAGATTAACGACGAAAATTGTTTTCTATTTTTTAGTTCGTCTAGTTACAAAAACGTGTTTTTTAGTTTATTAAACTATAATTTATTTTTGACATACGCTTAGTCTTAAACTTTTATCTAATACAGTAAAGATATCATTAAAATAAGTATTAAATATTAATGAAAGGTGACTCAATTCACAGTTGGACCGGTCCTCGGCCACGAGCGCTAAACCATTTGGTACGCGTCGGTGTGCCGGAAGCACTTCGAGGGGAGGTGTGGCTGAGACTCGCTGGCGTCGATCAGAATGACAAGCTCATGGAGACTTACAGGACTCTTATTAGTAAAGTTAGTATAGGCTTGAAGATTCAGTAAGTTAATTTTAATGACTAAATAATAAAAAAATATATATATTGAAACCTTACACTATAGGACCTGTCATTTCCTTTTTCTACGAATCAACAGGCTATCGTAGAAATAGAATAAACATGTAATATCTAAACATGTTGTTCTTAATATATATTCAATAATAACTAATAAATAGTACATATACATAAATAATAAATACATTATTATGTATTTATTATTTATGTATATGTATATGTACTATAAGAATAAATAATAAATAGTATATATAAAAAAATATGTTGGTTTGTGTACGCTTAAAGGATTCAAAAAGTTCTGCACTAATTGAGTTCAAATTTTGACACGATACACCACACATGTTTTATCTATGTTTTTTCAAAACCACAATGTGCCACAGCGAAGCGGAGGAGGGTACAGCTAGTACAGTATAAAGTATTAATCGACTAAACGATGTAAGTGAATATCGCATGGACCACCACCCATGGACACCTGCAACTTATGAGTCAGAGAATGGGCCTCTAAGTATCCACCCCACCCCTCTGAAGATGAGTTTCCGATCATTTTAATAACCATCCATTTATTCGCGAAGTAACCATTTTCGCCCAGGAGCCGATCGGTGATCACGTTTGACTAGTAAAATAGTAATACACGTATTATTTGTACAGGACTGTCCATTCGAACAAGTCATCCAACGTGACATAGCCCGCACATTCCCAGCACACGACTTCTTCCGCGAAGCGGGTGGCCTCGGACAAGACTCGTTGCTGCGTATGGCGAGAGCGTATGCAGTTTACGATCATGAAGTCGGATATTGCCAGGGGCTAAGTTTTCTGGCTGCCACATTACTCTTACATGTAAGTGTACATCCGTGTATATTGTGTGACGGATTAAGAATACGGAATGTCGCCACCCTTATTCATCCCGTGGGTTGCGCAAGAGCCGACTAATGGAGTTAAACTACGCAGGACAACAGCACTGTAAAAAGAAGGAAAACTGAACACAAACCCTATACCAACCAGTCTGGCCAGCGTGGTATAGTAGGCTAAAACCTCCATTTTAAGGAGCGGCTCATGTCCAGCAGTGGACTATTAAAGGCAGTTGATGTGATGTGTAAGTGTATATTCCAGTGTAATTGTTTAAATATACACAAGGTAAGTGTATTCAGCTACATACATTTCATTGGTACCTATGTGCATATAGCTCCTTAAAACATCTTGCTTTAAAAGTGGGGGTAAACTGTTGTTACTAACTGTACCACTTTTTTTTATTTCAGATGCCAGAGGAACAAGCGTTCTGTCTGTTAGTAAAACTCATGTATGGTTACGGTCTACGTGAGCTGTACAAAGATGGCTTTGAAGCTCTCTATATGAGGTTGCACCAACTTGATAGGCTTATGGAGGTATATAACATTTATTTGGAATGATTTCACAACATAAATGATACAAAATATGATACAAGATACGTTTATAGAAAATATTAAGTTATTTTGTCTTTATTATTACTTTTTGCACACACATTGCATTATTCATGTTTTTTTTTCATGAATGTCATTTAAACGGTCATCTCGGAAACTGTTGTCGTTTGAACCTTACATAGAATGATTATCTGTATTATTTAAACTTTGGTTACACATGTCTCTGCAACAGGTCATAATCAGCTGTTCTGTTCCTGATTAGTAAAAAAGCTAAATACTACTTCTGATTACAAGATTTTAAATCTAGAAATTAATAGATAATGAATATTTTACTTGCTGTACAGAAATAATTTACAAAGCTTAAAGATGAGTTCACTTATATTTGATTGTTACTTGTAGGAGCAACTCAATGATTTGCGTGTGCACTTCCAAGAGCTGGGCGTGGAGCCTCACATGTTCGCCTCGCAGTGGTTCCTGACCGTGTTCACCGCACGGTTCCCCTTGCCTTTGGTAAGATCAATATATCATTTCATTCATCTATTATTCATTTATATCTTGTTCCTTTGTACAAATATTAACTTTTTTCAAGGAATTATTTATAATAAATATAAGTACACTATCGATTATAAATGATCAAACTTTAAATTATCAGTCAGATTCGATCATTGATTTATGTTTTGGATACAGTAAACTTTATATACAACATATGATTATACGGAATAGTAAAGTTAAGATAAGTATCTTGTAAAGATGCAAGATAGGCACTCGGATAAATTATTGTATAGATTAAACAAGATAAGTGACTAAATAAAATAGATTAATGGGACAATAGCGTTAAGCCGTCGGTCCCGTCTGTCATAAGAACATCTGTGGCAATGGCTACGGGTAGTCCTAAAAAGTTAGACAAGACTGTTTCTACAGAACTTCGATATCGTCTAATACTTGGGTTGTGGAGGTCTGATGGCAGTCGCTCCGCGTAAAAATCAAAGTTCAGCGTATCGTAGTAGTCTTAAAGCCGACTGCAACCTAGTTAGGGAAAAAGATATTATCATTATCGATGATATTTGGAAGGACGGAATGTACATACTTTTTTGGTTACCATCGTTTCAAATTACTTACTATTGAGATCTGTAAATACGGCGGGTATAGACTACAGTAAGTGCACAGAATCGGGTGCATGTTTGCTTCCTTAATAAAAACAGCATAAAAAATAGCAGTATTCCTTTAAAGGTGTATCACATATTGGACGTGTTCCTTCTACAAGGCATAGACACGTTGTTCCAAATAGCGTTGGCGCTACTCTCCAGATCTCGCAAGGACTTGTTACAACACGACTTCGAAGGCGTACTCAAATACTTTAGGTAAGTAACTGATGTCATACGATTCTTCGAAATCGAAATTTGCATTATTGTGTCACATTAAATTATTATTAGTTATTAGGCATTAGTCGTATTAATTTTAATTTAAAATATACAATACCTTTTAAAAATCCTAAGTTTCCTGTTACCGTTTAAAACAGTAAATTTCAGTTGCCTGACAACTAACTATTTACTTGTTTGTTTATAGAGTGACATTACCAAAGAAATGCCGTGCCGAGGAATCGTCCCGTCAGATTGTGAAGCTGGCGTGCAGTATCAAAGTGAAACGCCTTCCTAAGTATCAACAGGAGTATGAAAAATTCATTAAAGGTAAAAATTAGATCATGCCGTCGATATTATCTCAATAATAAGTGTAGATACATAATTCCATAATGAGCTGTGCCGTGTATGTTCCGGGAGGCTTGACTTGTTTTGTGTTCGACTGGGGTACTTTTTTAATGAACTAAGCCATCCATGGCCGCCTGGCACACAGGCGCCACACAATACAAAGGAACCATACCGCAGTGATTCTTGTTTAGGCAATCAAATATTAATTTCTTTTGTAAAGATGTCTTCATGCTCTTTTTATGCAGGTAGTATAAACTTATTAACCGATCGTAACACCTCGATACAAATAATAATATGTACGTACATATGTATACGTAATACGTACACAACAGGTCTACTAAATGCCTTGTTTATCCATTTATCGTATATAGAATACTCTATTTGATGTTTTTGATTCGAACTTCTATGGCTCAAAGATGTTATTGAGTTTTGAATATAAACCACCTTAGTTGTAATATTTTAGTTAGTATAGTTTAGTTAAATGTAATGTATATCTTTATTTCTAGAATCAGCTGAAAAAGAAAAGATAAATGTGGAGTTGGAGAGGCTTAAGGTTATTAATAACCAATTGCAACAGGAAAAAGATGCGCTTGAATCGCAACTGGCAGAGGTAAGCATATTGTAACCAACGTTAACTTTTACTTTACAACTGAGGGCCTAGTGTTTGTCAATTTAACATCAACTCACTCTCGAAAGCGAACGCCTTCAGAGTTGCGATTGGTTAAGATTTCAGTGGGGGCCAATCGCAGCGCCGAACGCGGTCACCGTGACGATCGAGTAGACATAAGAAATAAACTCGCACTTGGGCCTCAGATCGAGTTGATGTGACATAAACTCACACTTGACCCGATGTCAGACCGACGCAGATGGCGTTGTTGTGAACATTCTCTTTCTAATTTTTTTCATCATTATTACCTTTTCATTCTTTCGTATTCACTGTTGTAATATCAAAGTGAACATTATATGTGTCGTAAGGGATGTATTTAACATTCTCATTTTTAACATATTTAACACTCACATACCTTTGACCGTGTGGTGACGGATTAAGAATACTGATTGTCACCACCCCCATTCATCCCGTGGGATGGGAGGGCGTAAGAGCCGACTAAGGGAGCAAACTATGCAGGACAACAACACTGCCAAGAAAGGGAAAACTTGACACAAACCCTATACCAACCCGTCTGGCCAGCATGGTATAGTAGGCCGAAACATCCTTTCTAAGGAGAGGCCTATGTCCAGCAGTAGACTGTTAAAGGCTGTTGAAGATGATTCAAATATACATATCATCATTTATTTATAACTACATTACACAATTGATTTGAGTAATGTCTTGTAACTCAACATTTGCTGTCTCTGTATCTCTTTTTAAAAGGTTTTTTTCTCAGATTGCCAATCGACTCATTAGACAGTTACAAATATAGCCAGTACTTCATTTAAGCTAAGATGATTTCTGTACTTGTCGGTTGTAGACTTGCACACTAATGCATGGTATTGAACGCACAAGCAATAGTGCGCGGGAGTCTTTGTAGCAAATTGGTAATCGTTTACACATATTACCGGAACCTGGTTCAATAGTTTCGGGTCCAATTGACTTCTAACGATTCTGCATCTATCCGGTTTTCGGATCTTTGTACTGAATTTCGTAGAACAGTTTAAAATAATACCTCGATTAATCTATATACTTTTGCATAACAGTCACGCGCAGCATCGGAGGAGAATCAAAAGTGGGCGACGCATTACTCGGCCGTTTCGCGGGACTACCGCGAGATCTGCGCTCGCCTCGACAAGCAGCTACACAACATGAAGGACTCTGTAAAGGACTGCGTCAACTGTAGCGTCAAACTTGCGCAGAAGGACAACAAAGAAGGTAAAAATATAAGATTAAAGCTAACTAATATTATAAGATCGTTTAACTATCAGACACTCTTTTCTAAAAGGCCGACAACCCGCTTGTGACTCCTGAGTTGCTCGTTTGCCTCCTCTGCCATAAAAAAAAGTGTGTGTGCAATTCACACACGGCAGAAGTGAAACTTCCGAAAATATTTTTTTTTTAATTCTCAGAAAACCACTATAATATAATAATAATATTGTACCACATTCACACAACACCATCTAGTCCCAAACTAAGCAGAGCTTGTACTATGGGTACTAGACAACTGATATAAATACACATATACTTTTTTTTTGTAAATATATAAATATTATACATAGAAACATCCAGACCAAATCAAACATTAAATGTTCATGCACAAAAATGCTTGATTTGAGCGGGAATCGAACCCGCGACCTTTGGAATAGCAGTCCGTTACACAAACCACTACGCCATTCGGTCGTCAAAATTTTTTTTCCGACCCGGGAATCGAATCCACTAAAACAGCGTTTATCAAATTTCATGCGAACGAAGTCGCGGGTACCAGCTAGTATTAAATAAAAAGATAAAAATATTCACACTGTCACAATAAAAATAATGTGTAAAGTATTCTATCTCATTCTCTCGCCGACTTAACCCTGTACAATTATGTGTTTGTTTCAAATAACAACGATTCTAAAGAAGTTTCACTTCAAAAACCCACACAAATCCAGCATACACACACAGCTTTACTTGAATTGATGAAATATCCTCTTCTCTGTATTTCATCTATACTTACATTACAAAGAACACGGCTGTACAATAAGGAACACTTGCAAGAAAAAAAGGGTTGTAATATTTTTGTAGCTCAATAACCTAAAAGCATCGATTTGTCTAAATAGCTCTAGAAATAAGATGTTAAAAATTGTAAAACGCCGCATATAATCTTCTTGCGGCAAGCTCTGAAGGTGACCAACTCGGCTCTCCTGTTAAATTTATCTCGTGTAAGGTTAGGTCAACAAGCAGTCCATCGCTACATTTCGTTGTATAATAGTCTGACTACCTTACATAGAAACGAAACAAGCTGCTGACGAGAAGGAAGGCGCGAGTGAGACAGAGGCCAGGCTCCGGCAGCGCGTGCGCGACCTGGAGCTGGAACTGGCGCAGGTCAAGCTGGCGCACGTGCAGGCACAGTGCAGCAACCAGGTATACATACCAGCCATACTTATTATGCTCTTAACTTTTATCTATTGCATGATGTGTTTATAGACGCCGAAATCATATTCCAGAAAAGTGTCTATAATCTGTACATTTCCATTCTAGGATCGGTGATTCGAGTGTAATACAGATATGACTTTATCACGACACACTGTTAAAGTAGTACTTTCTTTCTTATTAATTAACTTAAATGCTCTTAAGGTTTTTTTTTACTTTCTGTATGTTTGGAAATTTATATAACCTACTTTACGAAACATATCTATATAGATAAAAAATTTAAGTCGGTTTGTATACGCATCAAAAGCTGAAAAAGTTGTCGAAATATTTCTATTACTATTAGTGCTAACAAATTTTGTTATTAATCAAATTTTGCATGCAAGGTTTCAGTTGACGATTGTAAATCTATCCTTATAGGAGCTAAGCCATCAGCTGACGGTAGCTCTTAACGAGGTTCAGTCAGCGGTCAACCAAAAGCAATCGGTGGCACCCTGGCTCGTCCGCACCCTTGGTAAGAACTCATCAACTACACCTGTCTACAATGTCTACATTGAAGCGTTAGTAAATGAGAATTCACTAACGCTTCAATGTAGACTTAGCTTTTGAATATCAAGAAATTTGATTTACTTGACATAGAACTAACTCATTAAATAAAATCAAATCAAATTCAATTCATCATTCAATCATTGGCAAAATAAACTAATCAATGGGGTAGATAACTGTCAAATCAAACCAGTTTATTTTCATTAAACGTCAAAACGATAGACGCGGCACTTCTTTGTATGAATTACTATGTCGTGACGTCAGACGTGATTGCCACATCATTTATATTCAATGTTGATTTGAATATATAATAACATTAAATTGATAATGGACAACAATTCAGGCTGTAAAGTTAACATGTTACATTTAATGATTCAGACGCAATCATTTATTTCAGACCTAGAAATCTACCCTATTGTAGTTATTATTTAAAATTGACGATATGTTTTCTTAGAAAATATTTTCGTACATATATACGTATAGTTTCGGATTTATCGTACTTAATATACCTGTCTAATATACCTAATTTATATATATATATGTCTTGTACCTGTCTGCCTGCCCGTATGTGTGATGATTTAACCTTTTCAAGGTGTGTTGGTATGTTAAAATATGCTTTGTTTACCCCTTTTGTAGGTCATTAACAAGAAATACCAAGTTTGCAGTGTTGAGGTGAATGCTTTATTTATATGTATCTGTGTATATTTATGTATGTATGATTTGCTTGCTGTTAAAGTAGTGGAATTTTGGAGAGGTTTATTTTGCTTCATATTATCTCCTATGAACATTTTTGTTTCATTAAGATCATAAACTTAATATTTAAAAAGCGAATGTGGCTTTTGTTTTTTTTTGTATATTTAATCCGTTTTTACCCCTTACTTACTCAATTGGCCGTCATGGAATTTTTTATACACGTGGTTTAATACAGAAAAGACAGTAATTCATCAAGAAAAAACAATACAAATTTGTTTAAATGGATAGATGCACTTTAAAAATGAGAAGTAGATGTTTGGTTATATTGCGAATGCGTTGTCCCGAGTCCTTTTTACAACAGGCGAATTATTTATTACGACATCTGCTGACAAATATAAAACTACAGTTTTTGCCAGGGTCCAGCTATAATGCATGCATGTGCATTTCTAGGGTTAATAGTTGACATATTACAAAGGGAAGCTTTTTATTCTTATGTTGTGTAGGTTCTATAGTAGTTTTATTTCGTGTATCGGTACTCTTTGGCTAAATGCACCATATAATTGACCCGACTCCTGCCTGTTTTAAACCTTTGTATGTATGTTACATACACACATACAAATATATATATACACACAAGTGTAATAACATACATACAAAGGTTTAAAACAGGCAGGAGTATGTCTGTATGCTATTTGTTTAATAAGTATTATGTGTAATTAGTAACCAACCTATTTAGTTCCAAATCATTTACTGTAGAATAAATAATATGGATATAAAATAAGATAGTTTGTCATTTTCTTGGGTTCGTTTCCCGGGACAAATTAAATCCTTTCAGTAGCTATAATAAGTCTAGAAAAATGCCTAACACTGCTACTCATTCATGCTACTCATTCACCTCCGCCTTAATTTGCAGATATTGTAACACATGAGTGACGAAAAAAAAACAACAAAATTGACAGGCCTGTTGATCTAGTGGTTAGTAACCAAGTAAAAGTGACTGCAAAGCCAGAGGTTGTGTTCGATCCCCATCCAGGATAAATGATTGTGTGATGAGCACGATCATTTGTTTTGTTATCAACAGGCTATAACAGACCACTGTTGTAAGCCTCTCCTGAGAAATGAGGTTTTGGCTTACTATACCGCGCTGGCATAGTGTATAGGTTTTGTTTCAAGTTTTTCCTCTCTTTACAGTGCTGTTGTCCTGCGTAGTTTGCTTCCTTAGTCCCCTCTTACGACACCCGTGCGATAAAATAGGGGTGACACTCTGTATTCTTAATCCGTCACCACACTGACAATTTGTCGTGTCCGGGTATAGTTGATAGATGTCTTTATTTAGAAATATAAAAGTATGTTTATCAGCAATCTTTACCATAGCAAAGGCTCTGCCTAGTATTATAAAATTATTCTTTATCCATTAGGTTCCATCATGGAGGCGGCGCAAAACAGGCCATCATTCCAGACCTACCTTCCAAGTACAAATCAAGAACAACCTGCAGCATCATTACACAGACAAGGATCATTCTCGAACATTCAAGCAACACACAGCCAGGCGAACCTCGACAGACGTGTCTCCGAACCATATAGCCCCGACGTCGTCAGGAGGAAGAAAGATCTTAATGCGAAGAGGCACTCGATGCTCGTCGAGTCCAACCTGACCAAAGACGCCAAAGAAATCAACCGAAGGAGCCACGAAGTTCCCATTGTAAAAAATCTTTCAATGGGTTGACACAAAACCCTTTCCATCGGTTAATTTGAAAAACGAAATTATTTTTTGTTTCTTTTTATTTTTGGCGTGATAGAAAATGTATGTTGTATATACTTTGCCACAAACTGTGAACAGTATACATCACAAGTTAGCAAATATACAACTTGTGTTCCTTTTAATTTTAGCACGAAACTTGTAGCGCAGATTGTATGAAGTGCACATAACCGTAACACTAGTCATAATGTAATATAAATCGAGCACATCATATTGTTTATCTGTTCTTATGATGGTTTTCTTTAATTCGGTATGAAAACCAGTGTAGAGAGAGCTTCCACTTTGAGTTTGCGTTATCATTCCATTTTTAAAGTAATAGTGATCGAATCTCTCGTATGAAGGGAAGGTACTGTCATACATTTTAGTTAAGTACATTTCGTATGCCATACATTTATTTGAATTTTAGATTTGTAATTAATTCGGAATTTAAATAATTTATCTATTTATTATGTACGCTACAGAGAGTGCCTTCCGGATTAGGTTAAGTAATATAGATATTATATTTATTGAAGACTTTCAGTATTTCGATTTGATACTTAGTTATATTTGTATCTTCGTTTAGTCTTTAACTTAAAATTATAATGTCAATATTACATATCATAACAAGTCAAAGCTCCCGCACTGATCAACAGATGGTTGTAATAACAAAAAAAATCTTTCTAACGGTCGTAAGTGGAGTCTAATATGGCCTAATGGTTACTGATTACTGTCAAAATCACTCACGAGTATCGGTTGTTCTCGCTACGTACAATAGCTGTCATTTACCCGATTCAAATATGAGCGCTTACGTGTGACTGTTGGATGAAGCTTCAGGAGACCTAGTGTGAGTTTATTTCACATCAAATCGACTGTCAAGGTGACCGCGTTTGTCGTTGCGATTGGCCAGCACTATAGGCCTATTGTAAGTTTATTTCACATCAACTCGCTCTCGACGTCGAGCGCGTTTGGCGTTGCGATTGGTGAAGATTGCGGGCCATGCTTTGGGAGAGCCATGCTCCTGCACGAATGGGCCGGCTCGAGCGGAATGATACCACGCCCTCACAGAAAACCGGTGTTAAGCAATTCTTTCGTTGCCTTTCACTGAGTGAGTGAGGTTACCGCAGCCCAAATCCCCCTTCCCGCTGACTCGGGAGGAAGTCCAAGGGCATCGACGCACTTCTGACTTTAGAGTTGCAGGTGTCCATTGGCCGGCGGTAGTTACTTACCATCAGGTAACCCGACTGCTCGTTTTCCCCCTTATACCATAAAAAAAAACAACGCTCCGAACGCGCTCACCATGACGAGCGAGTCCATGTAAAATAAACTTACACCTGGGCCTCTGAACTCTTTACCAATCGCAGCGCCGAACGGGATTGCCGTCGAGAGAAAGAGAGATAGAGTTGATGTGAAATTAACTCACGAGGGCCTCAGTCAGCGGTTGTAACTTTATACTTCACTGTTTGACCGTTTGGTTAATTTGAATATATTCTAAGAAATAAAAAGAATCGTTACGCAAACAAAAGGTAATTGCTACTGAAACTGCCCTATATAGCTATCAATATGGGTAAAAAACATACAATAAAATGTTATTAGATTATAGTAAATTTTACTGTCATGCTTCGAATTTTTACCTTAGTCTGATCCTAATCAGTATTTCGTTTTATATGCCGTTGTTCTTGATTGATTTTTTTAATTAGATATGCTTAAAATAAAATCAAAATGTTAAATATTTGGCCTGGTGCCCTCCTACGGTATTCGCTGTAGTATGTAATGGTATAGTAATAAAAACCCTTATAAAAGTCTCGATTTGCGCTTTTGTATTCCTTACTATTCGAAATGTATCACCGTGTGAAGCTTATTGTCTTTTGGAGGTTTGAAGAATTGGGACCTAAAGAAGTGACTGGTATTATACGAATCCTCTAATTTAAATTTTCGATAATGTTATAAGTAAAATAATGTTTCTTGAAGAGTCGATGAATTGAAATCATGATATGGAATGAGTAGAATTACTCGACGTGTGAACATATTTGTAATAAGTGGCATAACAATACATACAAGTCAAGTGATTACTAAATGATATAATTGTCGTTAAATATCAAAAGAGCCTAAGTCACATTTTTTTTGTAAATAGACTAGTTTTGCCAGTTTTAACGTTTCTTTAGTATAAATCAGTGAAAAATGTCCAATGCTATGAATATTTCACTAGAGAATCCATAAAAATTGAAATAGTCTGCAAAAAAATATGATTTGAATGAATGAAAATATGATGAACAAAACGCATATTTCGACACTCAAGGGAATCAAAATTTATAGGGTACTTCCCGTCTACCAAATTACTATGTAATTTGGCAAGTAACATCGTCTCTTACTACAAATATACGGAAAAATCAGAAAACTATACATTTATAATTAAATCATAAAAAATATAGTCTTTATTTCAAGTACAAAATCAATCATCGACTTACAAGTTCACTTATAAAACAATAACATAAGTATTTATCGATTTTGGAAACTGACTTTTGGGGAAAGCTCAGAAAAAAACTGCAAGACTCGATTCCTGAACTCCCACTTGTCCGGATTATATGAATGGTATGAATATTTAGAAACAAACAGAACTAAAAATATCGAAAATAATTCGGTCTTTTGGGGATATTTAAAAAAAAATAAAAAAAAATCAGATCATCTCCACTTATTGCCGTTAATGTCCTTTATATCCTACCATATATGTTTTTTATTTCCCTACTAGCTGATGCCCGCGGCTCCGCCTGCGTGGACATCGGTTATCGCGACCAAACATACCCTACGTCCTTCTCCACGATATAATCTATCTCCTTGCCTATTTCATTATGAACCGTTCAGCCATTGAGTCGTGAAAAGGCAACAAACAAACAAACGGCTACTTTCGCATTTATAATAATTATTAGTATGGATTTTGAAAGTATAATTTACTAAACAAATATTTAACCCCTATACCATTCCGATATTCTTACAAGGTTAAAATATGTTTATTGTTTCTGATCAGCATAAATAAAAGTAAGTATCATATGCCTAGGTTTGTAAATGTAAATTTAGAATAATGAAAAATGTGTCAAACCACCATCTATAAATTATAAATTTACAACCAAATAAAACATGGAATAAAAGTAATCCATAGACAGTATCATAGACTACATACCAATACAGAAACAATTTCTTCGTCCTACCAAACCAAGCGGGGCCCTGTATTGCCATTTTAATGACCTAGTCCTTAAGCATAAACTTATAATAATAAATTTGTTTGACTGAAGCTTAAAACTAACCGTTTTCTTCTACGGTTGTCTGTGGTCACCTGCACTTATCTTCTTCCTCATTTTAGGTAGCTCTGAAAGCACAAGAGTTATTAAATTATCCAAAATTACATTAAAAACACGAACTTGGGCTTGAATAATTTTTACCATGTGGGTGACTTGAAAAACGGACGGAATTGAAAAATCTTTTAACTTTCAACCCTTTTTAGGATGGCGTGGCCTAGGGTTGGTTTGATCTAAAAGTGAAATATCCGTCGTATTCAGGAGATTTAAAGTAATAATAATTAATTGACCAGCATTGGACTTGGACGATTTTGGTATCAGTCGACACATAAATCGACATTCGACCTTAATGTGGAGTGGTAATTAAACTAAGCCTCTTTAAGCTAGGATACAGAATGCAATCCGTTCTGCATTAAGCATCATATTATCGGCATAGAACCAAACTAAGCTAATTGATCCACATTTAATAAATTACATCAGTACGTTTTACTTATAACATCATTGGTTTTCTTTTATATTTCTTATCATTTCTTATGAATATTTAGAATAAGGTCCTTCGTATGTTTTTTATTAATATTTAAAATTGAAGTGTCTAGTGATTGTCCTAGAATGTATACCTGTATTAGAAATTGTATTGAGATGATGTAGTAATTACTGTAGTTATGTACATCTTGGGTAAGTAAAAGATTATATAACAATGTATATTATAAGCCATATATAAAAAAATGTAGAGAATCTGCTTGCGTGGACGAATGTACCTGTATTTATTCACTAAATATTTATAAAATTTGCTGTACACTATGCATGTAGCACTAAATGCACAAGCGGGCGTGAATATAAAGTATCAAAATATTTGCACTGTTGTGCACTTTGAAAGATTTCAAACAACGTTTTTGTCAATCCATCGGCTCAGAGCTTTTGGATTATGTATGAGAGTGATTTGTTCAAAACCCCTAACAAAAGTTAAAAGGTTGTCGAGAGATGTATGAGCAGAAAACGAATAGCATTAAGATCATAAAAAGTCAAAAAACCATCTTAAGTGACTCCACAATTATTGAAAAACAGTACCGGACTAGACTGAGTTTCTGTTAGGATCAGCTCTCATACATTGTTCCCGTCCTCGTAAATTGAGTTATGTGCACAATTTAGACCAGACTTGCGTGAATCTGGATAGTCTGCGTAAATTAATGTAATCCGCGTAAGCACATAAATTAACGTCTGTGTAAATTGATACAGTCTTATATGGCTAACCGAAATGTATTATAAGTTATTTTCTATCTTATGAAAGTGTATTGATTTACCCATAATTTAGGTAAGGCTCTCTTATTGCCATATGTATGCCGCGTATATCATTTATATGACAATAATTTTTTAATGTATTTAATTAAGACGTAACTTCTAAATGTTATTATTTATTGTTACTCTTGTTTTGTCTGTGTCAAGATAGATTAAACGTAATGGGCTCGGAGATGACCAATTGAGGTTGTCACGTTAAATAGTTCTTGTCATAAGTAATTGAAAGGTGCAGCTATAAATATTATTACTGCTTGAAGTGAGAGTGAACGTTCCACTGCAGTATTTGAATTATAAGTTATATAAGCATAGCATCTGGTTATACGATTAATATAAATAAAATTCATGATGATTTTGTTAAAGGCGACGAAGATTCAAAGTTAAAAAAATCATTAAAGTGAAAAT